TGTATAAGAGACAGGATGGGCAGGGGCGAGGGGGAGGCCGGGAAGGAGGGCAGCGAGGGGATGGCCGCCGCCGAACCGCCCAAGGGCGGAGGGGAGAAGGCGGCGCCGGAGAAGGCGCCCGAAGGGTTGGCCACGGCGGCGGCCACGGCGGCGCTACCGGTGGCTTTGGGCTTGTCCCCGGCGTGGGTGCGTTGGTGGCGGTTGAGGTGGGAGCTGCGGCTGAAGCACTTGCCGCACTCGGGACACTTGTAGGGCTTCTCGCCGGTGTGGACGCGCTGGTGGATGGTGAGCTCGGAGCGTTGGATGAAGCTCTTCCCGCACTCGGAGCACTGGTAGGGCTTCTCGCCCAGGTGGATGCGCTGGTGCTTGATGAGGTTGGAGGAGACGCTGAAGCATTTCCCGCAGACGTTGCACTTGTAGGGTTTCTCCCCGGTGTGCATCCGGCGGTGCTTGGTGAGATCCGACTTCTGGATGAAACCCTTCCCGCAGTCGGGGCACTTGTAGGGCTTCTCGCCGAGGTGGGTCCGTTGGTGTTTGATGAGGTTGGAGCGGACGCTGAAGCTCTTCCCGCAATCCCCACACTTGTAGGGTTTCTCGCCCGTGTGCATCCGTCGATGCTTCACCAAGGCCGAATTTTGCCCGAAGCTTTTCCCGCATTCGGGGCAGGTGTAAGGTTTCTCCCCGGTTTGCGTCCCTTGGTGCTTGACGTTCTCCGCTCGGTAAGTGAAGCTCTTCCCACACTCGCTACACTTATGGGTCCTCTCCGGCGCCGGTCGGGCACGGGCCCCCCAAAGAAAACTCTTCCCGCAATCGGTGCATTTACAAGGTCGTTCGGCGGCGCCGCTCAAGAGCCGTCGGCGCTTGGTGGAAGCCAAGAAGCTCTTCCCGCAGTCGGTGCATTGACACGGCTGCTCGGCGCCGGCGTGGACGCGTTGGTGCCTCTCCAGGTGGGAACTCTGGGAGAAACTCTTCCCGCAGTCGCCGCAGCGGTAGGGCTTCTCGCCCATGTGGATCCGCCGATGGCGGTCAAGGTGGGAGCTCCAAGCGAAACTCTTGCCGCAGTCGCCGCACTGGTAGGGTTTGCCGGCGGCGTGGCTCCGCTGATGCTGCAACAAGGCGGCGTTTAAGCCAAAACCCTTCCCGCACTCGCCGCACTTGTAGGGTTTCTCGCCGGCGTGAGCGCGGCGGTGTTTGGCCAAGGCCGCGCTCTTGGCGAAGACCTTCCCGCATTCGCCACACTGCAAGGCCTGGTCGGGAGTTTTGGAGCCTTCGGCGGCGCGAGGGGTCGAGCAACGACCGCAGTCGGCGCAACGACACGGGGGTTGCCCGGGGGCGACGTGGGTTCGGCGATGGCGGTCGAGGTGGGAGCTCCAACTAAAGCTCTTCCCGCATTCGGGGCAGGCGTAGGGTTTTTCGCCGGTGTGGATGCGGCGGTGGCGTTCCAGGTGGGAATTCCAGTTGAAGCCCTTCCCGCAGTCGCCGCATTTGTAAGGTTTCTCCTCCAAATGCAATTTTTGATGCTTGACCAAACTAGAACTGGCCGGGAAACTCTTCCCGCAGACGCCGCACTGACACGGCGCCGCGCCGGCGTGGACCCGTTGGTGTTGGATGAAGGCCGAGCCGACGCTGAAGGTTTTCCCGCAGTCGGGGCACTTGTAGGGTTTCTCGCCGGCGTGTCGGCGTTGGTGGGTGATGAGGGTCGAGCTGAGGCGAAAACATTTCCCACACTCGGGGCATTTATGGGGTCGTTCGGCCCCTCGCCGCCGTTTGTTGAAGGCCGAAGCGAAAGCCAAAGCTTTGCCGCAGTCGTGGCAACGCCCGTGGCCCAACAAACTCCGCGGGGGGAATTTCTTGAAGCCTCGGTGGC